CCCAGGACTCTCACTTCCTAGGAAGAAGGAAACAAAACCAGAGGTACACAGGCTATGCCGGTATTTGTCCAAGGGCAGGCCGCAGCATGTCTGGTCAGAACTACCTACAGAGCTTGTTAATCAGGAGGTGTTCCGAGAGCACCTACCAGCATGTCAGAGTCTTGAAATGTGGCACGAGGAAGGAGCCCTAGGGAGGTGACGCGAACGGCCAGCCTGTGGGCTGACTCAGGGTCCAGAAGCCTCTGCATAGCCGGCATCAAGTGTTCAGCGTAGAAATGTTCATCCCCCATAGCTGTGAGGTAGGAAGTGAAGAGAAGTCCTCCACCCCCCAGGATGACCACAGCATCCTGGGCCCGCTTCTGGGGGGGGGGGGGGCGGAAAAAAGGCCCACTGAGAGTCCTTCCAGGCCAGACTGCAGTAACTTCTCTGAGCCCTTTACACCCATGCACACGGGACATAATGACATGTCACATGAAGCAATGTCCCTAGCCTTCTGCTAACACTGGTCTCCTTCATTTCCAGTTCTGCTCACACATTGACCTCTACTTTCAGTGGCTGTATCCACACTTCTGACAGTCATCGTGCCCTGAAGGACTCCAGGCCAGAGGTTTCAAGAGAGGCAGTATTGCCTCCTAGGGGACCTGTGATAGGCATTTTGGAGGAATGCTAAGAGATTTATTTAGTGGGCAGGACTCAGTAAAGGCAGACATCCTGCATTGTTTTAGGCTATCTGACAGATGAATTGTCCCTGTCCTGTATGACTTTTGAACATCTTACACTCAGTATGTAAAAAGTATATTATCTGAGCCTATATTCCACCACATAAACACAAACTATCTCCTGCACAGTTTTCATATACATTGATTTTTCCAGGAATGCAATTCCCTCATATACTGAGGGACAACTGCACTATTTTGCACAGAACATTACCAAGGATTGTTCCCCATTTCAGAGATCTCAGGAATGGTATAGTGCTTTGCTTGGGTGTTTGACAATAAAACATACCCGAGGCGCTAGAATTTTTTTTCTAAGATTTTATTTATTTGTCAAAGAGAGCTTGAGTACAAGCAGGGGGAGCAGCAGGCAGAGGGAGAAGCAGGCTCCCCATTGATCAGGGAGCCTGATGCGGGGCTAGATCCCAGGACCCTGGGATCATGACCTGAGCTGAAGGCAGATGCTCAACCGACTGAGCTACCCAGGCATGCCTGAGGCTCTAGAATTTCTAAATAGAGGCTTAAACACCTGACTATATCTCACTGAGTCATGCTGTAACACTTATATGCTGAAATGCATGTTATTTTATTATAAATTCCTTTATTTCTCTTTTATATTCCAGTTAGGACATTAGTTGAACTTTTAAAATTATACAAAGACAGATTACATTATATATAAATTCTACTTCAGGATAATAAAAGCAGTTGGAAAATATTTTTTTAAAAGATTTTATTTATTTGAGAGAGAGAGAATGAGAGACAGAGAGCATGAGAGGGAAGAGGGTCAGAGGGAGCAGCAGACCCCCCGCTGAGCGGGGAGCCAGATGTGGGACTCAATCCCAGGACTCCAGGATCATGACCTGAGCCGAAGGCAGTCGCTTAACCAACTGAGCCACCCAGGCACCCGCAAAAACATTTTTTTTAAAAAGGAGCATCAGGTCTTATTGAGTCAAGAATCACTATCCTGTTCAAAACGTGCTTCATAATGCTTTTCTCTAGTTATCACTGCCAGGTGATGAGTCATTCATTCGTTCATTCAATCATCTGCCCAACAGTGATAGAGCACTCTTGAGGTGGGCTAAGCAGGGTCCCTGCCTCTCAGGAGGAGACAGTCACTAGTCAGTGATCACGCAAATATGTAACTGTGAGGACTGCCATGAAGAAGAAAACGTATAGGGTAATAACAGAACCCAAACCAATCTCAGAGGTAGAGGAAGGCTTCCTTGAGGAAGTGACTTAACCCTGACATCCAAAGGATAAACAGGAGTTAAGTGGACGCAGTAGGGGGCAAGAAAAAGAGTAAAGGCGCTCTCAGTGGCAGACGGTAAAGAGATGCACCCAAGGAAGAGGGAAAGGAGAAAGGCTTGTTGGAAACCAAGGAATGAGGAAAAGCACAGCTTAAAAAGGAGCTGGGGAGATAGGCAGGGACCCTGGCCAGAATAAAGATTTGAGTTTTGCTCCCTACACAAGTTAGCGACGTGATCAGATCTGCCCTTGAGGATCACTCCCAGCTGTTAATAAATAACAAGTATTTATTGTCTTGCTTCTAGTCTCCAGCGGACTGTAGGAATGCCCCTTAATGTCAATCAACAAGTATCTGTACGCGGTTACACAAGCCCCTGCCCTAAAATTTCATCTAGAAGGGCTGAGGCCATGTCTTAGTGTAATTTCATTGCACGTTGGATCCTGCACACGGTGTTAGGCGGTCATGTGTTCATTAAACGCCCGTGTGCCAGGCTCAATAAAAGCCCACGTGCGTTGGCAAAGACCTGCATCTATCCAGACTGGAACGTGCCGTTACACGTGTTAATGCGCACGCACGGGGGCACCTGGGTGGCTCAGATGGTTAAGCGTCTGCCTTCGGCTCAGGTCATGATCCCAGGGTCCTGGGATCGAGTCCCGCATCGGGCTCCCTGCTAGGCGGGGAGTCTGCTTCTCCCTCTGCCTCTGCCTCTCTCTCTCTCTCTCTGACTCTCATGAATAAATAAATAAAACATTAAAAAAAAAAGATTTGACTATCAAACACCGCTTTAAAAAAAAAATGCGCACGCACGACCATCTGCAGGTGCCTCCACACACGCAACAGTCGTGCCCAGGGGGGCCACGACCTCGGAGCCGAATCCCGTCCACACCTCGCCCAGGTTAGCCCTCTATTCTCCTCTAGCCCCGCACCTTGCCCACACTACTCGCAGCCGCACAGCCCACTTTCTGAACTCACTTTGAGCTGTCTCCACGCCATGCTCCTTCCGCCACTAGACCCGCCTCTGGCTCATTTCCATTGGAGGAGATGGCGGTGAGCCCTCCAATCACCAACCCCTGCAGCTGCCACTTCGCCAATCGCGGGGCAGGAGGGTGGGGCTGGCCTCCCCGCAGCGGAAAAGGCCTCGCTCCGCCCCGAGGGTGTGTCTGGACGCCGGCGCGCGCAATCACGGCGGCCACGCCCCTTCCGCTCCAGGCTCTGGGCTCGGTTGCTACGTTGTGCGGAGCTGCCGGGCGCTGGCGGTGGGAGGTGCGCGCACCAACTCTCTGGTCCAGCGGCGTGGAGGAGAGACATCGCATATGTAGATCTTCAGTTCTAAGCAACACTCTCACCAATATCTTGATCATTTAAGCAGAACATTTGATATGCTTGTGCTTTCGATAAACCATGTATTGAGAGTATGTATCAGACGCCCTAAAAAGGGTTGGAATGAATTACCGCACTGTGTAAGATACCCGAGTTGACCTCAGAGAAGATTCCATCGCATCAGGTTTCACTTAAAAATGCCTAAAACCTGTGTATGTACGTAAGTATGTGTGTTAATGAAGGTGTTGGGAAATCTAGACTTTGTAGCAAACTCCTGCACCCGAATGGTTCCATTGAGGCGAAGACTTCGTGGACTCCCTACTTAGAAACCTTCCAAATTAATTGGATACTCTTTTTTCCTGGCATTTCAAGACATTTCGGCTTTCTAGTTTCAGTTTCCACTACTGTCTTCCCAAGTGCCCGCCCACCAGAATTATTTCTCTTCATAAATACTTTCCACTTGTATGCATTTACTCACATTGACTCTTGCCAGGATGACTGTTTCCTCCATCTCAATATGGCCAAGTGCTGGAAATAATTTCTTCCTCATCTGAGCCTTCATAGATATATGCTGTACCTGTCCAGTGGCACTGTATTTATTAACTACAATTGTTAGGTCTTTTTTCCCTTTACTAGACTGTAAACGTTTTGAAAGTAGGGAACTTGCCATATTTATCTTTCATTTGATTACTGCAGTGTTTTTCAAACTGAGGGAGTGTATTCTTGGCATAGACACTTAAGAGAATATTTGATACTGGTGTTTTTCTGTAATGATTTTTAAAAGTAATATAGGCATCATTTGGGCCGTTTGGACAACCAACTGAACCCTGAAACCTACCAAGCTATTTCAGTGCCCACATTTATTTGTATTCATTATCATATTTTGGTACCAAGAAAGAAAAGTGGCTGAAATAAATGATGGATGTTCTGCAGGTGAAGGATAAATGACATGCTGTATGAACAAAGGTTTTTCAGCAAGTTAAATAAAGAAAAGTGGTGAGAGAATGGATTTTCCCTACAGCATGAAGTAGTGTGCATGCCAAATCAAAACAACCTGTGTGCATGCCAAATCAAAAGCTAGTACCGTCAGATAGCTATTTAGTGCAGCACGTTTTCATTTCATTGATTTTCAGTTCTGTTTGTATTTAATTTGTATTCTTTCATCAGATATTTATTTTTTGGTTTTGATTATTGTGTGAGAGCTTTAACATAGAGTTCATCCCTAGTTTTATGTTTGAATGTATTTAAAAAACAGAATACAATAATTTAAATATGTACTGGGGGTCTGTAAGAATGGTTTCCTTTAAACACACACACACACACACACACACACACACACACACACACACACATGCACAATACATTTCTCGATTTTTAGCAGCACCGACTTCGATATTCATCATCTTCTACTCTGTAGCTTAGGCTTAGCAAATAAAGATCTATTCTAAAGCTGAACGCACAACCGGTTGTGTAGACGCAGGTGGTGTGCCCTGTAAATGGCCATTGCTTTATTGATCTTTGCTGTTTGTCTTCAGCTTAGAGGGACTCCACCTGGGTTCTTAAAAACAGGAAAACACAAAGCCTTTTATCTCCTTGACAAATTATTCCCTATTCCTAAAAGAATGATACTAATAAATATGACAAACCCACCAAGAATATATTTAAAGGACCGGGCAGCTGCTGAGCCCCCACACTGTTCTTGCTCACAGCTCACAGAGAAAATGTTCTTCAGGGGAAGAATCTGGCTTTGGTTATCCATTAGAACAGGTATCATTCTAGGAAGTGAGCTAAATATCCCAGAGCAACATGGTAAAAATAACTTATCAGCTTAACAGGTTTCACTGCAGCTACGAGGAAGCAGAAAATTACTGTCGTGTCCAGGGAGGACACCTTGCTTATGCTTGAAACCTGGGGGTCCGGGATCTTCTCTGGGACTCTCTGGAAGAAGGGAGTAAGTGCTGGATTGGGCAAAATCTAAAGCAGCTGGGAAAACGTCAAGAAAAAAACAACCCAGGTAAGGCTCTGAGACAAGTGTTTACAAAGGAAAAATCCTTTCCTTTTATTCTGGAACAGGAAAAAGAAAAAAATTTCAATCTTTCTGCTTTTGTACATAGAAAAATCAGTCGCTTTACTTCATTACCACAGTTCCTCTGAAGTATTTATATTTTTGGGCTTCAACCTTTGATTTGTCTGCGCAGCAAAGATGATGAGATTTTCTCAGAGTTTATCAAAAGCTAACACCTGATATTTCACTGAAAGTATGTGTAGGATTCTGAAGTGGGAAACCTTTTATGGCCGCTTTGTTCCTGGTAAATATCTCTTCCTAATTCAGAAACCAGGAGAGAAATGATTTGCCTGTTACTTTTCTTACAGAGATATTTTCAGAATCATGCACCATAATATTGTGGTCTTGGAGAAATATCCAAGGCCCTGTTAATATCACCATCATCATCACTGAAGTCTAGGTAAATTAATATGAAGCCTTGTGATAACGCATAATATGAAAAAATAAATAATCTGTAATGTGTGGGTGTGGTGTGGAGAACAAAGGCAAAAGAAATATAGAAAAAAATTCAGTCTCCTTACAACTTACAGCCCATTGACAAATTCTTGAGACAAGCAGGGTGACCTTCCTCCAGAAGCTTACCTGCCTCAGTGTTAATATTTTGCTAGAGCCAAAAGGCAACCTTAGCTTGACATTAGCCTAACTTCCAGGATCCTGCAAGTCTTCTTTAACATATAAAAATCCGTTTGGAAACTTCCTTTATCTCTTCCCGTCCCCCCAAGATATATGTTAGCAATCATCCTTCAAACATATGGCCCAGTGATATCCGTCTGAAGGGTCTTGTGACTAAGGTTTACTAGACAGTAGAAAATGACCCCTCAAGGTCCGGGAAACCTTGCTTCCAAATTCCTTAGAGACTTCCTCTATCCCTCAGCCCTTCCCAACTGGAAAGAATGTCATCAGTCACTCCTCACAATCCTAGGCAGCATTTTCTGCCCACAGGTCCTGTCCCAACATTTAATAAAACCACCTTTTTGCACCAAAGATATCTCAAGAATTCTTTCTCGACCATTCGCTCCTGGACCCCCAACAACATAACACATCCGGGAGATATCCTAAGTTGCATCTCTTAGAAGCTAGCAAAATTTGGTTTTCATATTTACTTTTAAAAAAGGTTGATTTTGGAATCTGAGGCTTATCTGGGTCTGTTCCTCTTTTGGTAGGTGTCGTGCCCCCCTGGCTCCCAGAGCCCCCCAGCTGCACTTACATGTCCCAAAACTCCAACTGGATCTCATCAAAAGTGGACTTGTGCTCCCCGGGGCATTCTTTCATTTGCCAGGCTGGTAAGTGATGAAGCCACATGCCACCAAAGTCATAATATCTAGAAACTGATTCCACATAAGGACGGCATGTGAGAGTATTGGTTAAGGAGTCTGTGCCATGAAAGGGAGGTATATGCCAAGTGGCGTCCAAAGACTGAAGGAGGCAACAAACCAAAGAAAAAGGCTGACAAGTCCAGCTTGACAAGAAATGGTCTATTAAGGGGGAACCACCCAAGAGGAAAATGCTTAAGAATAGCTGTGCATCCTAGTTCCGTCTCCAGGGCAGATCGAGGACATTGTGCCCCAAGGTTTACTTACGGGTGTGGTTGGACGAGAAGAAAAACTGGGGATGGGGGTGGGGGGAACGTGCTTAAGAAGGTTTATCGTCACAGCGTCTGAGTGATAGCGCAGAGGATGCATGTAGAGATTTTGATGATACTGATTATAGATCGATCTTCATGATACTGATTAGAGTGAGAAACTGTTCATCTGGAATGACTTTCAGATACATCCCACTCTGGTAGTTATTGCTGTGCCTGGTGTCGCCTTCCTTTCCAGACTTGGGCGGCGTGTGGGAGAAGGTGTAGCAGTAAACTCCATTTTCCTCATGTGCACCCCAAACCCATTAGGCGCGTGGGCTTATGAGGGAAGACTGCAAAAGCAAAGGGGGAGAATAGGATATTGGTGTCGGAAGATGAGAAGGTGAAGGGCAAGGAGGCTGTTGTGTCGGTTTGCGTCCTAAGGAGTACGTGGTGAGAATGGTGTGCGTACAGTGGGCTGCGTGATTTTTCTTTTAATGTACGTTTTTTCCATGGTGGTTGTATCCAGCATTTATTCTTAGTTCATTGAATTCTCGAGGACCTTACAATGTCACAGTCTGAGCCAAAATTTTGTTCCACTTTAAAAAGTCACAAATACAGTCTTGTCAATATGAAGCATCTATGGGTTTTTCATAAAACAGAACACATTGCAATATTTCTCTGTTATAAGAAAAAAAAAAAGATCACCTGCCTCAAATACTGGGTATTGAAAGAACCCAGTACATCAAGGTAATAAATTTTCGATTCCCAGCTTCTCATTCTCCATCCTTTCAAGCTCTCTGTGATACGCTTGCCCGATTTTGCCATGATAGCACGCTGTTGACGAGGCCAAGGTTGTGAGGCCAATCTCTGCGTAAATCAAGTGTTCCTGTGTTTTGTTATCACAAATGTGAGTGTGGCTCCTTACGATGGTGAACTGCTTTTCATCTTGACAGGAGGTTATTTGGCCCAACTCATCTCCGGGATAGGGAAAGTAATCCTTAATACCAATGATGATGATTTTCCATTCATTTTTCACTCTCCAAGTGTTGAGTTTTTAGACATTTTCACCTACTCTTGGTTTTGGAGTGAAAATGCATTTTTCTGATATTATCACTCAAGTACTTGCAAGAGATTACTGCTATGGAATATGAAATGTTTGTGCAGAAGGTAATCTTGGGCAAAAAGAATTCTGGGGGCATCTGGCTGAGTCAGGCATGCGACTCTTGATCTTGGGGTTGTGAGTTCGAGCCCCATGTTGGGTGCAGAAATTACACATAAAATCTTTAAAAATAAACAAAATTTTACGATAAAAAAATAAAATCTTTTTAAAAAAACAACAAAAAACGTTTTTAAAGAGAATTCTATTCAGGGGTGCCTGGGTGGCTCAGTCGTTAAATGGCTGCCTTTGGCTCAGGTCATGATCCCAGGGTCCTGGGATCGAGCCCCGCATCGGGCTCCCTGCTTCTCCCTCTCCCACTCCTCCTGCCTGTGTTCCCTCTCTCTGTCAAATGAATAAATAAAATCTTAAAAAAAAAATTCTATTCAGTTATCTAAGCCAATTCAGCAAATTCTGAACCTGCATTCCCATAATGAGATTAAATGTTTCTGTAGTTAAGAGCTCAGGCTCTAAAGTCAGACTTCTGAGTTCATGTCTTGATTCTGGGACTTTCCTCTTGTGGCCCCTGGGCAGTCCTTCAAAGGATTGTCATGAGGATTAGTAGATAACAGAAGGAAAGTATTAGAACAGTGCCTGGCAGTTATTACTGTTACTATTATGAAATTTCAATTTTTTGTGCAAAGTTCATTTCTGCTTCTAGATAGTATCACATTCATGTCAAAGGTCATTGGATCTCTTGGAGATCTGATATTGCTAATTACCTTTAAAACTAAAGTATTGGCACAATGTAATTGCTTAGTGTTCCGAAATAGCTATTGTTGGGGCTCAGCCAGAAAAGCATGTGACTCTTGATCTTGGGTCGTTAGTTTGGCCCCATGTTGGGTGTAGAGATTACTTAAATAAATAAAAAATGTAAGAAGGAAGGAAGAAAAAAAGAAAAGGAAGGGAAGGAAGGAAAGATAAAGGGAAAAAGAAAGAAAGGAAGGAAGGAAGGAAGGGCTACTGTTATCATAGTGTTTATACGTTTTATTGTGAACTTAAGAAATGCCTCTTCCGGAGCGTCTGGATGGCACAGTCGGTTAAGCATCTGACTCTTGGTTTCAGCTCAGGTCATGATCTCAGGGTTGTGGGATCGAGCCCCGCGTCAAGCTCCGCACTGTTGAGCTAAGCGTGGAGCCTGCTTAATTAAGATTCACTCTCTCCCTCTCCCTCTGCCCCTCCCCACCCTGCTCCTGCACAAGCTCTCTCTAAAAAAAAAAAAAAAAGAAATACCCCTTCCAAAATAACATGTTGGTGGGAGAAGTGTTTGTAAATTTGTTCCTTAACATTCGAAAGAGAAGTCTAATGTTTCATATTATGAAATATTGTGGCCCAAAAATAGAGAAATGCAAATTAAAGCTGAGATACCATTTCCCCCCATCAGATGGGCATAAATCCACAAACTTAACAACATACTCTGCTGGCAAGACTGTAGGGAAATAGGTACTCTCATAAATAGTTAATGGGAATGCAATAAGATACAGTTTCTAAGGAGAGGAATATTTGGCAGTCTCTAGCAAAATTGCATTTACATCTACCCTTTGACCCAGCATTCGTGCTGCTGGGAATCTATCCCAAAGTTACACTGGCAAAAATATAAAAAGACACACGCATGAGGCTATTTATTGTAGGTTTCTTTGTAACAGCAAAAAGGTAGAAACAATCCACATAACCTTCTAGGGGGACACTGGTTGTCAAGAGAAATAGGATCAGGGACTGAAAATGAGGATCAGGGACTTCGTTGTCATTGGAGGTAGAGTAGAGGAGGAAATAGGAAGAAGTCCTCTCAGAGAGCAGAAGCATGACGAGACCCGGCGAACACTATAAGATTGTTAGGCTTGTGATCCAAATTTAAGCTGAGATATGGTCAGTGAGGTTGTATGATTTTTGTCAAGCCACGTTGGGCAGCATGTGTGAGAAATAGCAAGTCTACATAAGGAGGCATGTTCAAGAATGTTATTGTTCACCTACTGAACTCTCTTCTCTCTACCAATAGGAATTACACAACACGAGGAGAATATTACACTTAGAACATAATTTCTTAAAATGAACTTAATTCTCTCTTAGTGTTGACCCAATCGGTGGACCTCATTTTGTGACGTTGGAGAGTAGAAGGTGTTGTGATGTCAAGAGCAGAAGAGCTCCTTGAGAATTCCTACGTTCTTAAAAAAAAAAAAAAAAAAAGGATAGTAATCTTTAATTTGCATTGTCTTGATTATCATGAATGTGCTCTTGACAGCTATTTTATAGACTTACAGCTAGAGCTATGTACTAGAAATTCTCTTTTCCATTGGCCTCCGAATAGAGGCCTTTCCAGACCACGATGAAAGACCTGGCATTAATTCTCATTTACACTGGAGACCCGAGAAGATAAGGGGAGAAGTCACAGTACCAAGAAACAGAAGGACCTCAGGGAATGGGTAGGGAAATCAATTCCTGCCTGGAAGGATGCACAGGATTAGTTTAATGCTGAAGTGTGTCATCATAACATGTACCCCATCAATATCTGTTGCGTTCTGTTTTGTCTCCTCTTATTGCAGTCTTTGATCTCATTTTATAGGTACTACTTTATTGATGGGCCTTTGGCCATCTTCTTTTCACATGTGTCCTAATAAAAGACAGGGTTTTCTCCCACAAAATTTTCCATCCAAAAAGTCTTCTTCAAGTCCTTTCAGTATTTCACATTGTGGTATTTTCTCTCATTTTTTTTTTAATTTTGAAAAATAAATACTATTTGGGGAAGATGCATTAGCCTGAAATTACCTCAATCAATACCAGTGTCGGATGATTATAGAGATCGCCTGACCAACCAGGTAGAAAAAGAGACAAATTTAAAGTGCATGTAGTGATTATTCTGGGGGATATGACCTCACAACTTCAAGTTTTAGATGTCTTTGTCAACAAGCCCTCCAAGGATCCCTTAAAAGAGCAATCTAGAAAGTGCTGTTGTAGAGACATGAATAACTATCTTAAAAACAAACATAAAAATCAGCTTTTCCAGCTGCTTTTGTAACTGGGTACTTGTGAGGTCGGGAAGAAGTGTTTTGTGATAGCAGTAGATGAAGGTAAAGTTGGTGTAGTTTTGAAACTGTTAAATAATTACAGAAGTCGCTCTCTTGATAATTAAGGCACTGAGACTGAGGTTGCATTTGAAGAGTTTCAGTAAAGCCATGTCATGGAAAGCGAGTTTCCAGAGCAGTGCGCCTAAGTAAATACACGACTACAGATAACATGTGATTTTAAACATGCCTTTGTAGAACAAGTTAACTAGACATTTGACTGTTTCACCTATATCCTTAGAAATGACATAGTCAAGTTTGCTCCCAAATAACTATCTTTAAATCTCCTCATTGAGAAAGGAGGGCATTGCCTTATCTGGGGAGTTGCCTTATATTTATGTACATACGGCCCTTTGAAAAAAAATTTTTTTTTCAATTTTTAAGTAATCTCTATACCCAGTGTGGGGCTCAAACTCACAACCCTGAGATCAAGACTTGCATGTTCCTCTGACTAAGCCAGCCAGGTGCCCCCCAAGGTCCTTTGAAAATTTTGTGTCACTTTGTTTTACACTTGTTCCTATTAAATTTTGTGTAAATGGGTCTAATTATTTGATTCTGAGAATATTTTTATAGTAGAGTTTATCATATTTAAATGGGTATTTTAATAACATGTCATTTCTTGCCTTCTTCTGTGCTTTTGGGTTCTAATCCTTTCTTGCTACTTTCTTCTGTCCTTTGTTGGAATTTTACTCTTCCGTACTCTTGTTTAATTGTTTGCCTTCAAGGAGTTGTTCTTTTTGAACACATTCCTGCACCTGTGTTTCTCTAATGGTTGGGCTCAGGAGTGAAACAGTCTCTTTTGAAGCCCCCTCATCTGGTTAAAGGAATATAGCACATGTTAGTTTTTCCTTCCCCGCTGTCCCTCCATAGATTTTGTTAGTATAGTCTGTGGGTTTTATTGAGGTTATTGTTATATTGGTTTGTTTTTAATAGATTTTATTTATTTATTTACTTATTTGAGAGAGAGTGGAGGGAGGGAGAGGGAGAGGAAGAGGGAGAGAATCTCAAGCAGACTCCCCATGCTGAGCACGGAGCCTGACGTGGGGCTCGATCTCACGACCCTGAGATTATGACCTGAGCCGAAACCGAGAGTTGGACGCTTAACCAACTGAGCCACCCAAGCGCCCCTGTTTTTTTTATATGTAACTTAAGAATACCTTTAAAAAAAAAAACTTTTGTCAAAGCCATATTTCCAACAATTTAGAACGTATATCTGTTTTAACTGGTTTCACATTTAGCCCCAATCATTTTTATGCCATAACTTTACCCTTCTTGAGCTCTTAAGTTTGTATAGTCTCTATTCCAGTTGTTTTTACAAGAAAGATCCATTGGTGGAAATATTTTGGGAACTCAAGGATACTCAAAATGTCTTTCTTGTCCCTTCCCAATAGGCCATGTTTTAGCAGGATGTACAAGTTAAAAACATAGGGTCAGTTGCTGTAACAGAAGTCAGAATGGAAGCTTGAACAAATGGAATTTCCTTTCTCTTCCACATCACGGTGTAAGTAAGCAGACCAGGGCTGTTAAGTAGGCTCCACAGCTTAGGAGACCCAAAGTCTTCCTGCCTTGTTCTGCTGTCATCACCTTGTGACTTGCATCTCGTGGTCTATAAACGCTGCATTAGCTCCCCGCCTCCGTGTTCGCATTCTATCAAATGGGAAGGGGAGAAGGGAAAATGGGAAGCCTGATCCTTTCCTTTAAGGGCACAGCCTGGAAATTGCACCAGTTACTTGTCATATCCCACTGGCCAGGACCTGATCACATGGCCTTACTGCTGCCAGCAAGGAAGGCTGGGAAATGTAGTCCTTTAATGGGGCTACCATGTTTCCTTCAAAGGAAGGAAGACAGCAGGGGAAGTAAGCAGTAGTCTCTGCAATACAAGGAACATTATTTCCTTTGTCAGTCTTGCCCTCAAGACTCTGCAGACACCGTTCTCTTGCTTTTTGGCATTTCTGGTTACCGTGGAAAAGACTACGGTTAGACTTTTTTTTTTAATAGGTAGCCTTTTTTTCCTCTATCAGACTGTAAAATTCTTTAATCCTTGTAACATGGAAATTTTCTCAGCAGGTATCCAGGTCACTTTTTGCTGATTTTGCCTAGAATGTGATGTTATATATACACATTTTTCTATTCTCTTTTACCTATTTATCACTTATATTTCATTAGTTCTAGTTTTATCCTTAAGAAATACCAGTTATCCAGGGCACCTCGGTGGCACCCTCTGCTCCTCCTGGCCCCTGCTCACACATAGGCTGTCTCTTCAAAAAACTACAGAGAAAAAAGAAAGACATGGCAACTAATCAGAAGAACATCTCAGAACTCTGTCCTCCCCCAGCAGTAGTGGTTAGAATGATTCTGCTGCTAAACATACATATCAGTCCTATCAACAGCAGAGAGACTGTTACAAGAAGAGATAAAGGTGGCAGAAACAGGCTTGCTATAATCAGATAAATTGTAATGGGTGTAGAGCACATGCCTTGAAGGAAGTCAGCCTAAGTTAATAGCAAATAGCCATGTGTGTTAACACTGATAGTGCCTTCAGATCATAGTTTTCTTGGAAAATGTGGAAAGGGAATGAAAGCAATAACCGTGATCTGGTAAAATGTTGTCAACGATTATTTTCTAAAAGTATCAGACTCCAGGGACTCCTGGCTCAGTCTGTTAAGTGTCCAACTCTTGGTTTCGGCTCAGGTCATGATCCTGGGCTCCTGGGATTGAGCTGAGTGGGGAATTAGCTTCTCCTCTCACTCTGCCCCCCCCCCACCAATTGCACACTCTTTGTATGTGTCTCTCTCTCAAATAAATGAATAAATCTTAAAAAGGGTGGGGGGCACCTGGGTGGCTCAGTCAGTTAAGTGTCTGCCTTCTGCTCAGGTCATGATCTCAGAGTCCTGGGATCGAGTCCCGCATTAGCCTCCCTGCTCAGTGGGAAGTCTACTTTTCCCTCTCCCTCTGCCCCTCACCTCCACTCATGCTCTCTCGCTCGCTCGCTCTATTCTCTCTCTCAAATGAATAAAAAAATTTTAAAAATTCTTTAAAAGTATCAGATTATGGCCATACCACCTTGAATGTACCCGATCTCATCTAAAACTATCAGAAATATGCTCTGATTTATTAATAGGGAGCTTCTTTTGGTAAAATTATGAGGCAAATACTTCCACAGTAATATTTAGGTACTGGCAACTTTACGATTGATCTGATTTAAATATTTTTATACTGAGGGCCTTTGAAGAGTAAGCAGAGATTAGATGTGAGTGATTTGTGACACTTCAGCTCTGGAATCCTAGTTTGTCTACAGAATTATCAGTGGGAAATGGTCACTTTAGTTTACTATATGAAATGATTTGCATTGTTTTTTGCCAAGAATAAGACGTCCTCAAATAAATTTCTATCCTAGACTTTTACTTGAACTTAGTCTGCTTTCTTCTTTCTGTGGCAGCTACTCATCCTGCAACCTCCTGTCACCACCCTGCTCACGCTGATCTTGTAAGTACGTCCCTTGACAGCACACATCTGGGATTAGTAATCTCTGTCATTCCTGGTGAGTCCCACCGGAACGCCACTCTGGCTCACTAAGTGCCCCGGATACAGTGTTCTCATAAGGAAAGGAAAGTACTTAAATGCAGGAAAGAACCAGGTTGAATGGATACTTTACTAACGACAGGTTTTTTTTAATTTTATTTTCTTATGTTAATCACCATACACTACATCATTAGTTTGTGATGTAGTGTTCCATGATTCATTGTTTGCATATAACACCCAGTGCTCCATGCAATACGTGCCCTCCTTAATACCCATCACCGGATTAACCCATCACCCCCCACCCAGAACCCTCAGTTTGTTTCTCAGAGTCCATAGTCGTAACATTTTTAAAGCCAACTCTGGCTTTCATGTTGTTACAATTATCATTTGTTGGTTGGTTGTTTATTCCCTGCTTCATTCCAAAAAGGACTTGTGATATCTTACAGAAGTACATGCAATACGATAAAATTCAAATTCCTTTTATTTTTTTAATTAATTTTTTTTTAAGATTTTATTTATTTATTTGACAGACAGCGAGAGAAGAAACACAAGCAGGGGGAGTAGGGAGAGGGAGAAGCAGGCTTCCTGCCAAGCAGGGAGCCCGATGCGGGGCTCGATCCCAGGACCCTGGGACCATGACCTGAGCCGAAGGCAGACGCTTAATGACTGAGCCACCCACGCGCCCTCAAATTCCTTTTTAAAAAGGGGGGAGGGGGGCGGAGCAAGATGGCGGAGGAGGAGGAGACCTAGATTTCGTCTGGTCTCAGGAATTCAGCTGAATAGGGATCAAACCATTCTGAACACCTACGAACTCAACAGGAGATCAAAGAGGAGAGTAGCAACAACTCTCTGAACAGAGAAGCGACCACTTACTGGAAGGTAGGACGTGCGAAGAAGTGAATCCGAGGGGATATTCGGGAGGCTAGACGGAGGGCGAGGGGGCCTCTGCCGGCCGCTTCTGGCAAGTGCTAGAACCGCGGAGCACAAAATCGGAACTTTGAGAAGCCGGCTCCGCTGAGGGACGTCGCTCCAGTGGCTAAGCGGGGGGTGGAATCCTCCTGGGACAGTGTGGTCTCAGGACCCTCGGGGTCACAGAAAGACCGGGGGTGCCTGAGTGCGCCAGAGCTCCCAGGTATCGGAGCGGGGAAGCCGGCTGCAGAGACGGAGCCGAGGCGCGGGCTCTCAGCTCGGGGTGGCCATGAACCGACCGCGGGACAGTCAGACCACTGCTCCTCCAGCAGGGACCCAACAAGCGGCAGAGCCGGGGAGACTCCCCTCCCTCCCCCGGGAGGAGTGGCGCGGGAGCGCACCGCAGGGATCTGCTGGGTTTGGAGACTCCACACGAGGTCGGGTGCCAGAGATACAAACGCTCAGTCACAGGCCGGGTGAGCATGGAGTGCGGCCAGAGACTGGGGACACGGGAGTGACTGCTTTTCTCTGGGGGCGCACTGAGGAGCGGGGCCCCGAGTTCTCAGCAACTCCGGGTGGAGATTGGGAGGCCACCATTTTCGCCCTGGTCCTCCAAAGCTGTACCGAGAGCTTGCAGGGAACAAAAAGCTCCTGAGAGCAAACCCGAGCAGCTTGCTTAGACCAGACCAACAAGGGCGGGGCAATTCCGCCTCCGGCAAAGACATTTGGAAACCACGGCAACAGGCCCCTCCCCCAGAAGATCAGCACAAACAGCCAGCAAGCCAAGACCAAGTTTACCGATCAAGGAGAACGGGAGAACTCCAGCGCTAGGGGAATACTGCACATAGAATTCATGGCTTTTTTTTACCATGATTCATTAGTTCATCAAAGTTAATTTTTTTAACTTTTTTTTAATTTTTCTTTTTCCCTTTTTCAACCATCTTATCAATCCCTTTTAAAAAAAAAACATTTTTTTATTTTTCATTTTTAGAGTCATATTTTATCCCTTCATAGTAGTTACCCTTATTTTTGGCATATATTTATTTATTTATTTTAAAGATTTTATTTATTTATTTGAGAGAAAGAATGAGAGAGAGAAAGCACATGAGTGGGGGGAGGGTCAGAGGGAGAAGCAGACTCCCTGCTGAGCAGGGAGCCCGATGCGGGACTCGATCCCGGGACTCCAGGATCATGACCTGAGCCGAAGGCAGTGGCTTAACCAACTGAGCCATCCAGGCGCCCTGGCACATATTTATAAGTTGTTCTGTCTTTAAAATTTTGAGATACAGTTTCTTCTAACAGATCAAAATATACCCTAAATCACTAGTGTATGGCTTTGTTCTAGTCTCCTGCCTGATCACATTCTCTCCCTTTTTTTTTTTTTAAATCTTCTTCTTTCTTTTTTCAAACAACTTATCAATTCCTTTTATAAAATCTTTTATAATTTTCATCTTTACAGTCATCTTCCATCCCTTCATTGTATTGACCCTTATTTTGTACATATATGTCTTTCTTCCTTTAAAATTTTAGGAGGCACTTTTTTCTAACAGACCAAAATACGCCCAAAATCTAGTGTGTGGCACTGATCTATGCACTAGCCTGATCATATTTGATCATATTCTGCTTTTTCTGTATTGTTTTGTTTTTGTTTTTATCTTTTTTTTTCTCTTTCTTTTTTCTCTCTTTCCCTTTCTTTTCCCCTGGTTTCAGGTCTTTTCTGATTTGTATACAGTATATTTGCTGGGGACGTTGTTAACCTGTTAGCATTTTGTTCTCTCATTCATCTATTCTCTGGACAAAATGACAAGACGAAAAAAATCACCTCAGCAAAAAGAACAAGAGGTAGTACTGTCAGCCAGGGACCTACTCAATACGGACATCAGTACGATGTCGGACCTAGAGTTCAGAATCATGACTTTAAAGATACTAGCTGGGCTTGAAAAAAGCGTGGAAGTTATTAGAGAAACCCTTTCTGGAGAAATAAAAGAACTAAAATCTAACGAAGTTGAAATCAAAAAGGCTATTGATGAGGTGCAATCAAAAATGGGGGCACTAACTGCTAGGATAAATGAGGCAGAAGAGAGAATCAGTGATATAGAAGACCAAATGATGGACAATAAAGAGGCTGAGAAAAAGAGAGATAAACAACTACAGGATCACGAGGGCAGAATTCGAGAGATAAGTGATACGATAAGACGAAACAACATTAGAATAATTGGGATCCCAGAAGAAGAAGAAAGAGAGAGGGGGGCAGAAGGTATATTGGAGCAAATAATAGCAGAGAACTTCCCTAATGTGAGGAAGGAAACAGGCATCAAAATCCAGGAGGCACAGAGAACCCCTCTCAAAATCAATAGGTCAACCCCCCGACATCTAATAGTTAAACTTATGAGTCTCAGAGACAAAGAGAAAATCCTGAAAGCAGCTCAGGAGAAGAGATATGTAACCTACAATGGTAGAAATATTAGATTGGCAACAGACCTATCCACAGAGACCTGGCAGGCCAGAAAGGACTGGCAAGATATCTTCAGAGCACTAAACGAGAAAAATATGCA